CAAAATGGATCAGAGACCTAAATGTAAAATGCAAAACTATAAAATTCCTAGATGATTATATACAAGAAAATCTAGATGACCTTGGGTTTGGCCATAACTTCTCAGAACAACATCAAAGGCACAGTTCATGAAAGAAATAATTGATAAGCTGGACTTCATTAAAATAAAATATTTCTGCTTGGCAACAGACATTTTCAAGAGAATGAAAACAGAAGCCTTAAACTGGAAGAAAATGGTTGCAAAAGGTATCTCTGATAAAGGTATCTCTGATAAAAGGTATCTCTGATAAAATATTTGCAAAAGGTATCTCTGATAAAGGACTATTTTCCAAAATATACAAAAAAAAAAAAAACCTCTTAAAACTCAATAAGAAAACAAACAAACCAATTAAGAAATGGGTGAAAGATCTTAACAGACACCTCACCAAAGAAAATATGCAGATGGCAAAAAGCAAATGAAGGATGTTCCACGTTGTTTCACCAGAGAAATGCAAATTAAAACAATGACGAGACACGCTGCACACCTATTGGCATGGCTAGAATGCAGAACACTGCCAACACCGAATGCTGGTGAGGATGTGCAGCAGCAGGAACTCTCATTCATCCCTGGTGGGAATGCAAAATGGTACAACCACTTTGGAAGACAGTTTGGCAGTTTCTAACACATCTGAACATACTCTTACCATACAATCCAGCAATCGCACTCCTTGGCACTTACCCACAGGAGTTGAAAACTTATATCCACACAAAAAATATGGATGTTTATAGTAGCTTGGTTCATAATTGCCAAAACTTGAAAGAAACCAAGATGTATTTTAGGAGATTAATAGGTAAGTAAGCTGTGGTACATCCAGATAATGGAATATAGTCCAGCATTAAAAACCAATGAGCTATCAAACCATGAGAAGACATGGAAGAAAATAGGCTGCATACTATGATTCCAACTGTATGACATTCTGGAAGAGGCAAAACTATGGAGACAGTAAAAAGGTAAGTGGTCGCCAGGGTTTGCCAGGGCGGAGTTTGAGGGTAGGAAAAGATGAATAGGCAAAGAACAAAGGATTTTTAAGGCAGTAAAAATACTCTGTGTGATACAATAGAGATGGATATGTCATAAATTTTTCCAAACTCATAGAATATACAGCATCAAGAGTGAACCCTAATGTAAACTATGAACTTCGGGTGAAAATAATGTCAATAAAGGTTCATTAATTGTAACGAATATACCACTCTGGTGGAGGTTGTTGGTAATGGAGGAGGTTGTGCATATGTGGCAGGAGGGGATATATGGGATATCTCTGTGCCTTCCTCTCCATTTTGCTGTGAACCTAAAACTGCTGTAAAAAGGAGTGTTTTTTTTTTTTTTAAAGTTGAATTGAGAATAAACCATTATAACTGTAATTTGAACAGACATTTTAGAACATTACTATAAAACATGTGAGGAAAAGAGAAAGAGAAGCTGAGAATTTTCCAGAACTGATGAAAGATATCAATATACAGATTAAGAGATGCAATGAATCTCCAAAAGATAAATAAATAGTAATCTACACCCTAGTAGTATAATGCACAAAACTAAAGACGTATACAAAGACATAATCAATCTTAAAATCAACCAGAGGAAAAAGGCAGATAAGTTTTAAAGAATTGATTGACAACTGACTTTTCAAATTGCTACAAGAGGAGCCAGAGATTGTAGGAGGGTTTGAGGGAGGAGAGGGGAGGAGAGTGAGGAAGTTAGAGAGAGAAAGAGAAAGAGAATACTACTCAATTCATTTTATGAAAGTAGCATAACTTTGCTACCAAAAGGTGACAAATACGGTATGAGAAAGGAAAAATTATAGGCCAATCTTTTCCACGGACATAGATAAAAAAGAAAACCCTAAGCAAAATATTAGCAAAACAAATTTAGGAATAAAAATAATAATACATCATGGGCTGGGTGTGGTGGCTCACATCTGTAATCTTAGCACTCTGGGAGGCCAAGGCAGGAGGACTGCTTGAGGTCAGGAGACCAACCTCGGCAAGAGGAGACTCTGTCTCTACTAAAAGTAGAAAAATTATCTGGGTGTAGTGGCGGAGGCCTGTAATCCCAGCTACGTGGAAGGCTGAGGCAGGAGGATCGCTTGCACCCAGGAGTTTGAGGTTGCAGTGAGCTAGGCTGACACCATGGCACTCTAGCCCAGGTAACAGAGTGAGACTCTGTTTAAAAATAAATAAATAAATAAATAATAATAATACATCATGATCAATTTGGGTTTATACCAGGCATGCAATATTCTGGTGTATTAATACAATGGAACACTATAAGGTAATAAAATAAATGAACTACACCTAAATGGAACATGGGTAAAATCTCAGTGTTAAGTAAAGGAAGACCTAAGAATTCATGTAATGATTCCATTTATATTCAAACTCAGATAAATCAAAACTTAGCCTTACGTAGGTGACAAACTTTAAAGGAAACAATTACCTTAAATGTCAAAAAAATAGTTACCTCTAGAAGTGGGGTGTGGTTAAGAGATTTATGCTGTCAATATTCTGCTTGTAATAGTTATTTAGATGTTCCTATTTTGCAGTTATTCACTATATTGTATACTTATATTTTACATACTTTTCTAAATTCTATATTTCACAAAGTAAAAATATCATATTCAAACTTTACAATAACACAAAAAATCAGTCCCCAATAATCCCAGTCCAATAGACTATATAATATTCTTCCACATGGCATATACTTTGCTTTTATTTCATTTTGCTGTTTTAGGGAAGTTCCATAAATCTGCCCTAATCCGTCGTTTTCCTATAGATTCAACTCCCTTGTCCTACTCCCAGTCCTTCAAATCACAAATGACCAGGCTAATTCCTCTTCTCAGCCTTTAAAACCTAACATCTATCATATCCCAGGGACCTTCTCTAGCCATCCCTGCCCACATATTCCTCCCATTCCCAATACACATATTTCCTCTCTAAACAGTACTCTGTGGTTCTTTCATCTGTCCCTCATGATACAGTTCAAAGTCTTTCCAAGCAGCTTCAATATTTAAGCACGTTCCTTTCAGCTTGGTGCCCAGATGGAATCACTCTAGGTATGAACAAACTAGAACAGGACTTTCACTAACCACCTCTCCCACTACTTGGAAGAGACTGAAGATACTGCAAAGAATTTGGACTTAAAGATAAAGGGCCCTGGGTTTTGTCATTGCTATGGTCCGAATGTGTCCCCCCAAATTCATGTATTGGAAACAATACTCAGTGCAACAGTGTTGGAGGTGGGGATGGAAGGTGTTTCGGTCATGAGGGCTACAACCTCATGAATGGATTGCTGCTGTAATAAAAAGGGCCTGCGGGCATGGGCTGTCTCCTGCTCTTCTGGCATGTGAGAATACAACATTCCACCTCTCTGGCAGACAAGCAGTGAAGCACCATCTTGGAATCAGAACTGAATCTGCCAGATCCTTGATCTTAAGACTTCCCAGCCCCTGAAACTGTGAGAATAAGTTTCTGTTCTTTGTAAATTACCCAGTCTTGGGTATTCTGTTACAGCAGCCCAAAATGAAGACAGTGGTCATCATTAGCTGAAATGCTATGCAGATTACTAAACCTCTGAGCCTGTTTCTGGAATGTATAAAACAAGTGTAAGAAATGAGCTGTTTATGAAGTGCTTGATATAGTAGACCTTCTGTAAGTGGTAACCAACATTAACAGTCTAACTAACACCATCTCTCCAGGAAGCCACATAACACTTTTTGTTCTTAATTATTACTATGTATTGGTCAGCATTCAATTGTACAGAACAGAATCCACTCTGGCTAGTTTAGAAGATTTTTAAAAATTTTATTGACTACAGAAATAATTTATACAATAACCCAGTATACATGCCTACATATGTAATTCAAACAATCTTCACAATATTTAACTTTGTGATACGTATTGTCCTTTGTCTATTTAATTTTTTTAAATGCTGGCTGTATCCCATTGAGTTGATTTCATGACTCCGCTAACAGTGTGACCCACAGATGGACGATTACATTGTGGGGTATTAAATGGAGGGGTAGAAGGACCTGGGCGGCCCAGAGAACAGCCTAGTCCTGCTCCATCTGTATGCCCACATCCTCAAAACCAGGCCTAGTGATTCTCACAGTGCAACTGATGGACAAGACCTAAGTGACACCCACAATCCTGCTACAAAGGAGCCTGAAAAACACAGTAAAGAAAGCACACTAGCAGAAAGTTGCAATAAACATTAATCAAACTAATCTACAGAATCAGCCCATATCTGCCATGAAATACTGTTATACATAGTTCTCAAGCTATGTACTTGGGATGGAAAACCTAGTGGCCCAAGTATGTATTATTACATTCATTTTATCCCTATTAAATCGCATATTTTCTTGGATACAACCTATTATAGCTACTTCAGTGAGGGAAACATATAACTATGACTAGTACAATTTGTCTGATGGGACAAAATTCAGGGGAATAATACAAATGTAACAAATTCCCAAGTTACATGTCATTTCACAAACATACCACTACCCAGTCAACCCAGGATCTACCAAAAGAAAGATAAATAATAATAAAAAAAATT